ATTTTGAAACACTCTAACTTCCAAAATCAGGATGATACAGTGTGTCACTGAGTTATGCACAGGTGAAAAATTTGTGCTGCCCAAAAAATGTTTTTAAAATTGTCATTTCCTCGGAGATTACAGTAAACTTCACCAAGTTGGCTAGGTTGGTGTTTGCATTACCTGCAATTACCCAGATTCCTTTATGGACCATTTCTTAAATATCTTGAAAGAATCAAAACCCACTACTTTATACTTTTAGTCGCCACAAGGCACCTTAAGATCTTCAGGCGGTAAAGTGGGCTTTGTTATTGCTAATGGCGCTTGTAAATTAACCGATGGAACAGTAATCGGCTCCCCATGCTTCAGAGATAACGGTAAGCCACAGCTTTCGCATTCGCAGTTGTCGCTTACCATTACTCTCTAACACATAAATTTTGCTCTTTTGTGCCGAAACATTTCTGAAGCCAAGTCGCAAGTTACCCTGTATGATGTGGGTTTGTTCTACGAAATAATTCTGGTATCAAGGACAGTAATCTACACCGTCTTCTTCGTGCCATTCTGCGATTTTGCAAAATATCAGAGGGGTAAGAAAATCATTGTATTTCATTATAACAAAGTGAAAGTGTTCGTTGTTATGTATGTTACAATTTACGCTGCAAAAGTTTATAGCAAATATAATAGTTTCCGATTTCTCTCTAGGAAGGATTCTGATCAAATATTCGTGGCCCCTTTCGCGGTTTCGAAAAAATAAAACAACCGTATACGTGGAGTTCGGCTTGAGAGAAGATGCCTTACCTTTGAGCGTACGTATATTCCACTTTGTTTGAACTTTCCAAAGGCGATCACCTCAGGGCACTCCCCTGTTTGAAGTTCATTTCACAAGCTTCTTAGGCTTTGTAGCAAATTGTTTGCTGTGTTAAGTTTCCTTTCTCTCAGTTTACATTTTTCCTTACATTGGCCTTTGATTTATCTTGACTTCAGGCGCAAATAATTTACGACAGTCAAATCGTGTGTTTGTGGAAGAACGGTAACCTCGCAATATCCAATTTTGATAATTGTTGTAAGTATTTGCACATTTGTGTGCACACTGTTTTTTCCTAAAGTCAATGGCAATGATGTGTTGGTGGTGTAACCCTGAGGTGGAAATGTCAGGGAGACGTATGGACCTGCAGTGAAGTAGACTCAGGTTGCACCGAATATCTCGACCGTAAAACGAATAGATAATCTGGCAAGGAAGCGTATAAGGGGTCAAGCCTTGATAGGTGCAAGGGACTAT